TGCAGGTCATTGTAATGGGCTTGCAGAGTTGCTATCTCCGGGCGTTAATTCTACCACATGCCCCCAGTGGACGGCTTTACATCCGACTAAGTATCGTGGGCTCAGCGAAGACTTAAATGTGGCGTACAACTCAGAAGACTTCAAGCAAAGAGCTATTCAGGCCCTCGGAGATGCAGTCCGTGTACCGTAAGTCCTAATGTTGCATATCACTGTGGAAACATGGACGCGCTCTTAGGACCGAATCATACGACGATAATGGACTGGTCGGTGAGGATAGTCGATGGGATACATTCGCAGAACTTCATCGAGTTCTTGAAGCCTCGTTTCCTCGCATGTACGTCGTGTTCTTCAAGTCTGTTGATGTTTTATAGCTCATTTTTATTTAATTCTAGTTACGAGTCCCTAAATGTCACCAAAGTCAACACATATGGTCTGGTTTTTCACTGGCAGGGATCGACTCCTGCAAAGCCTTACATCTTGGCCGCTCATCAAGGTAAGTTATTCTCTTTTGAACGTTCTACTGAATCTCGATTGACGTCGTTCCAGATGTTGTACCAGTTGAAGAACAAACAGTTGAAGAGTGGAAGCACGATCCGTATTCAGGGTACTATGACGGTAGGCAAATTTTGAGCCCCACGAGGTGCTACTTACATTTGTATCATCACAGGCACGTGGATATGGGGTCGTGGTACCTGCGATGACAAAGGCGACTTGATACGACAATTGCTAGCCATCGATTCCTTGTTAAAGCAAGGTTTCTCTCCTGCACGCACCCTTATACTTTCGTATGGATTCGACGAAGAGTCCAAAGGCATAGAGGTCAGTAAAACCTCTACATACAAGCTCCATTATTGATAGGTAGCATCAGGGTGCTGGTCATCTTGCTCGATACTTGGAAGAAACGTATGGGCGCGATTCTTTTGCCTTGCTTCTTGACGAAGGAGGTACGTAGACTCAATGTTGCAAAGTGGTACAACTCAACTTTGCGTTAGATCTTTACACGGACATGGGTGGCATTGTTTTTGCGACTCCCTCGATATCTGAGAAGGGATATCTTGATGTGAAGATCACTGTTTCAACTCTGGGTGGTCATTCGAGTGTACCACCTTCTCATACGGTGCGCGTTGATTGCCACGCTTTCTTACTAATAGCTGATCAGCAATACTGTACAGAGCATTGGTCTCCTCTCCCGCTTCATAGCAGCGGTGGAAGATAACCCGCACCAAGCCAGCCTTTCCCGAAGAGGAACCCCGTTTGCGACTACGCAGTGCCTTGCGGCCTACGATCCAGCGTACCCCAAAGACTTGCGAAAGCTCGCAAGAAAAGCGGTTGCAGATGATGCAGCTCTGAAGGTGCTTCAAGAGCGACTTCTGGCTTCGGATCCCCTGTACAAAGCAATGCTTGGGACCACACAAGCAGTAGATCTCATTGAAGGTGGCGTGAAAGTCAACGCTCTCCCAGAGCGTGCTAGCGCAGTAGTGAATCACCGCATCGCAGAGCATAGGTCTTACTTCTTTTGTATGATTTCTAGGACTTTGTTCACTTCTTACTTTTAGTTCTGTTGCTGAGTTGCAGCAGCACATGATCGACCTTTTGACCCCATTGGCAACCAAGTATGACCTCGCACTCGTCGCATTTGGTAGCAACATGACTCGTGGTGGTGCCGGTCAAGTCGTTCTGTCTGACTTCCTCGGGACAGCTTTGGAACCTTCGCCCGTGACGCCCACCGGGTATGGTCCTTGGGCACTCTTGCAAGGAAGCATTAAAGCTGCTTTTGAGAGCTCCCCCACCCGCAACAGCAGCAAGGTCGTGGTTGTACCCTCTCTATCAATTGGTACGTTGGTTGACTGGTTTGTACTGTACGATTCTAATGAATGGTATCAACCAGGCAACACTGGTGAGCAGCTGTGATCTACTCATAACAAATCATCCCTTCACGTAGTCTCAGACACACAATTCTACTGGAATTTGACCAAGCATATTTTCCGCTTCTCGCCGTCCTTTGACACGGATCGTTTCAATGGAGAACACACTGTCAATGAAGGCAAGCGTTGTAGTGTTGCGTTGTTTTCCTTGCTGATGCAGTTCCTAAACCTAGCTTTCCGTGCAGACAGCTTGAATGAAGGTGTTCGTTTCTACACCAAGTTTATATTGAATGTGGATGAAAGTGATTTACCGTGAACCATTATTTTTTGTTTTGCTATCGTTGGTGTCGGGAGTCTTTACGCCCGCACCTAATAACTATTTTGCTGTGAACAAATGTTTTTCCACTTCTCGATACCCAATACGCATTTGTTGGAAATGCTGTACTACAGGCTTATAGATACACACAAGGATATGATATACAACTACAACACTTCACATTTTTACGTGTTATTATTCTGCCCCGGTCTCCGTCTCCGTGCCACTGGTCCTGCTATTGACTTCAGATCCCTCTTGTCCTGTCGAAACAACACGACCTCGTCCATCTGTCGCAGCTGCTGCAGTCTCAGATGTCTGACGTCGAGCTTTGATAGCAGAATTCGAGCAGCGTCGCTCACGAGCCTCCACTTGAGCCTGAGCATGAGATGGACCACGTACAGTCCTGCTCCACACTACTCTGCCTCTGCCATCAGTGACAAATGGAGGATCCGCATCGTGTTCGCATTGCGGTCGGCCAGTCGGCGTCGTCTGCTCCTCCGTACAGTCTGCTGGTGCTTCAGCAGCTCCCGAAGACACCACTAACGACTCGTTGCTCTCTGGTGGGTCAGGCATAGTACTTGTAAGTGTAGATGATAGGTAAGTGTCGTTATCATTGTCATCGTCATCGTCGATGTTGAGAGGATGTAACATGTCATTCTCCTCTGCTTCGTCCTCTTCGTCCTCGTCCGAGATGTCAATAACCATGGTCTCCCGACTGCGGGAGTTCAGTACGGTACTGAACCTGGACGTATTTGATTGCTGAACGGTAGATGTCACGGAGGCTGGGGAGACAGATGAGGGACGGGGGGACGGTGTGCGGGGCATTGCCCAGGGAAGGAAGCTGTGAGAAAGTGGCCCAGAAACCTCCGCAGAGGATGATGGCCTAAAAGGCACCGGATGTGTTGTTGAGGATCCCACGATTGGAGATGTACTCCTAGCCCTAGGTGGTATTGAAGCAGTGGGTACTGTTACAAGACTTTCGACAGGTGGATGTGGACTTTCCTCGACAGCGAGGGATACGATGGTAACAGGAGCCGCAAAATGCGCAATTTCTAGTGACTGCTCTGTAGCTATACTCTCCGCCTATGGTAGAGTCAAAGCTACTAAACATACACATGTCATGCAACTAAGTGATCTTGAAAAGGCTCACCAGTAATTCGAAGGACTGATGGTCTTCGTCGTCATCTTCCATTAGAGTATCTGTGGCTGCACCAGACTCCGCATCCATGCCATTCAATAGCGCTGGAAGATGTCGTCGGACGAAACTGAGGGTGACATGTAGATTATTCGTTGGGTCTCCGAGGATGCTCTGCAGAAGCCTAAGGCGATCTGCGAGATCTGCTTCTGAAGCAGACCCAATAAACGTACGGCCGCGCTGCCGTTGTTGTCTCCTAAATACCTGAGAAGACATAAATATAAAAGTACAACATGCAGATGACGCTATACCTTCATAAAGTGATTTGCTCCATATTGGAAAACGTGTCGTGTACCATCAGGATTGAGATGTTGGTAGAAGCAATCGAGACCAAATGGACAACATGGCTTGCCAGAAGCTGATGTTTCGACGAAATATCTACATGACTGTGATCAGGCCGGCGAGAGGAATATAGAGAGATCGTACTGACTTGCATGGAACGCGAGCCATACTATTCTTGTAACTATCTATTATCTCCTGCTTGCGTGGGTGATCATGAGGGAAGAAATGCGTGGAAGGTGTGATGAAACGCGATGGACTGCGGCAGTAAGGACAGCGTTTTATTACTCCTGACATCACCATGTCCGGCGACTTTCCTTGTGGCTCTCGCCACTGGCGAATACACTGCATGACAGTGTGAGTTTGTGCATAGAAAGAAAGATAATGATAGGATCGACCTGAAGACAGAATACATGGCCGCAGCCAACTGGGGGACGATGTCAGAAAACGTTCAAAAGCCAAGATAGTGACTCGCTTAGAAGACCGTATGTTTGAGGTTTCTCCATGCATATGTTACACATATTTTCATCCAAGTGCTTTAGCTCCTCATCAACAGGCTCCTTCACAAGTTCATGACGAAACCAACACCGAGTACCCCGAGTGCAATGTCCTGAAATTCGGTCAGTTACACCACGTTATCATCAAACTGTACCTTGCTTGCCTTGAATGTAGTATCTGCACACCTTGGATTTGTCGTACGGGGTAAGCTTTTCTTCAGCACCGTGGAGGAACTTGCAATCATCACCAGCGTAGCAGCCCCTGGGGGTTTTGTAGTATCGACAGATTCCCCGTGGCTTGGAGGTCACCGGGCGATCCATGTGAACATCTGGTGTTTATCCTTCAAAACTACAGACGATGAGTACTAGAATATTCCACTGCCAGCAAATGATCAGTTGTGGAAAGCGTGGACGACTAATATTGGTGGGACGATGACAGAACTTTGGAAGGTCCTGTTTCCCACGATGCTGTTCGAGTCCTAAGCTTTTACGAGATCAAATGTAGTATGTACACCGCGGTCATATCAGGTTAGATATTCGAGCGTCGGACGAATGATGTCCTGCGTCGCGGCAATCTCAAAATATTTAGCAGCTCCGAGTAAGCCTCATATTGCCCGCAGGGAACTGTCGCCGTTTGTCTTACAATCTTCATGACCATCCTCCTTCTATGTAGAAGCCATTCCACAGTCAAAGCACAGGTTAACTTCATTGATACATTGAATACTCGTCTGTTAGACAAACACTGGTCCATAGTGAAACTAAAATTACACAAAGTGTTCGCGGACACAAGCAACGCGGTACGGAAAGCGATAGGTTTCATCGGTAATTTGCGCGCCGAGCATGAACGCCTACAACGCCAAAGGAATTCTAAATCCACCAGTTCTCCCCATCATGTTGTTAGGATCGTATTTTGCGCGGATTGCTATAAGCTTTGGCAAATGTTCCTTGTAGATGTCCTGGACTGGAGTATCGGCGAGCGAGGTGTTGCAATACTTTGGCAACTTGTCATTAGTGCACCCCTCTGCCTCCGCCACCTTTTGAATAGACTGCAGGATCTGCTTCATCATCCCGATCCAGAAACTATCGTTGCTCTCTCCTTCCCATTGGAAACAGGCGAGCAACGGACCATTCGGCCGGCCTCTTTCGTGCGGCCAGGCAGCGGAAGTGCTTGTGTCAAACATGGACGGTAGGAATGGCCAAATATCGACGACGGCTGTCTTTCCCTCGTATTCCTTCAGCTTGCTGGCAGCGAGCTGAGAATAAGAGCGATGAGAAAGATATTGAGACATTTGGATGCTAAGGATGATCATACCTTCGATTGGACATCGATCTCATCCAAGAGCTTTGGGGTGAAGTGCGAAACCATCACAGTCCCCCAACGCGCCCTGCAGGGATGTGAGTGAGCCGAACGTCAAAGAAATTGTTTTATAACATACCTAACATTCTCTTCTCCGACACCAGATTTAGGGGGATTCTTCGCGTACGTCTGCAAAGAGAGTTGTGACCCATCAACTTGACGGTGCGACGGCGGTGCAGAGACGCGGGATGGATCATGAATGTGGGAAAAAAGCTGGTCCATGAATGCAAAGTTTTCAGCAAGCTTTTTGTCCGCTTCGTCGTGGTCCTCGTGATGAATCCATTTATCGTCAGAAAGCTCGAGGAGCTCCTCAAAAGGATTGTCAGAAGGAAGCGGCCCGTCATAGAAAAGGTCAACAGTAATCTTGTCCTTGTATCGACAGTCAATGTCAGTGCGCAGTAAACCTCAAGAGTTGGACATACCTCCCGCTCTCCACGGATGCAGAAATGTCTGTATGCACCAACGATCGCTGCCTTCTTGTCTTTGCACTTATCGATGAAGTTCATAATTGCTTCCTTCACCTTTGCGGCCTTGTCTATTGGAAACGTCAACATGTTCCGCTAATTTTTTTTACACGAGATCAGCATGAAAGACACCGTAAAAACACGTTGACACTGACGTAGATAGGCCCAAGTGGATAGGTTTTGACAGTGAACGAAGTAACAATGCCGAAGTTGTTTCCGCCCCCCTATTTCCGTAAGGACTAAGATTATACCTGTGTATTTGATAGACTCACTCTTATAGCAAAGAAAAGGTCACTATTGCGTTCAGCGGATGCCTTCACTGATTCACCGTTGCACAAGACGACTTGAACCTCGACTAGATTGTCTATTCCAAGACCGTGCTGGTTGGTCAAGAGGGAGTAACCACCACCCAATAGCCAACCAGCTACTCCGACTCCAGCAGCGGTGGCCCCGCCGACGATGTTTCGCTTATACTGGGCTATTTCCTTGTAGACCTCATCGAAGAGACATCCCGCCCCAATGCGCAGATTCTGGGTTTTGCTGTTATATTCGAGTTCATTGAAGTTGGCCATGGAGATTTGGATGCCTGTAGTGGAACTGAATCCAGGATTGGTGGAATGTCCACCCCCTTTGACCTACGTAGTAAAGTCATGAAATGGTGAGAACTGATAATAAAATACGCACCGCAAATTTCACTTTATCATAAGTCATGAAGACTTTCATCTAAACAACATTTAATCGGACAAAATCCAGTCAGAAATCGAGCACTGACGATCTTTTTCAAGTCATCAATGTTACCAGGTTGAACTGCGCAGCGAGCTACTTCAGAGCTGCTCTCGAATTGGTGAGAGACACTGAGATTATAACCAGCGCCACCTTTAACATAATACTTCAATGCTGTGATGTAATGGTCAAATGAACGCTTTACCAAAACGCAAAAACTGCGAAACATGCTTCGAGTTTTTGCAAATATTCTGCATTTCCTTGGTAGCTTCGACATATTCTTCCTCGGACCAGAAATCAGTGTCGTAACTAGCATCTGGGTCCTTGTCAGTGTGGTTGTCCGAGTGATCCGGCTCGTCATTGTAGTCGATCGATGCATGAATTCCTTGGGCTATGGAGTGTTTGCCAGTATTTCCCTAAACTTTGTATCGGCGAGATAGACTGATAACACAGTAGCGGTGCGTACCATACTGCAAGCACAGGTATTACCCTACGGTAGAGTGACTTGGGTTAGAATTCGAAAGCTGCTGCAGTGAGTGACGCACTGGATCATCTGAATTGGCGCGGCCTGCATGGACATTACCATTGACCTGCTGTAGAGCAAATCAAAATGGAAGTCCGAATCAAAGCTGGTGCGATCAGGGACGTACTGAATCAGCTGGATCCTGGGATCCTGCACCATCTGCAAGATGCTGCAACACAAAACAATATTAGTGTCGTCAGTGGTGAACCAACTCAACGATACAAAAAACATAAACATACAGGAATCATGATAGTAAATAAGTCGCTTTAAAGGTTTGTGAATTGAAGAAGGATCTCTCAGCCAGCGGGTGTGTTGTGGACTAAAATCCTCGATTGGGTTTTCTTATAAGGTCCACGTACCACACAGCAATGCTTTGATCCGGCGTAGTGTTTGACTTATTGTAGAGCTTCGCGCCCGGCATGCTGCGGAGTGGAGACAGGCACGAGGTGGCGAACTGTCGATTGTTCGTGGACTGACTATCAGCGAACCGAGGAGTCCTTTAGGGTGCGTTACGCTGATTGCGAGGTCTTTGCGTCGTAATAATCAGATTCAGACGTTCCGTATGCCATGGACTGGTACATTCTGGATTGAGAACCGAGAATGGGCACCGACCCTTGATGGATGTGATCCATCAGAGCGCGGTCCAAAGAAGGAGTCACATACCGTCTAAGGAAACAAGATGGCGTCACTAGTCGCAGATACCACTAGTAGTAGATATCGCGGCATTTTATAAGCGCCTATGCATTACATAGGAGACCGGTTCAGATTTTTACATTCTTTCATTGTTTTATCACGTCATGGCTCACCGTTTCCCCCGTGTACCCCGGCCTGCATTGCGTAGTGGAAGACAGCCTAATTTGGATCAACACGAAGCTCAAATTAAATTAGACCTCCGACATAATTGAAACGTGTGCATAATACTCATAATGATTATGTAATGAAGATGCATGGCATCTTCATCAAACTTCGAGCCACTAGTACTGGCACAAATGGAGGACATGTGAGTGATGTATCTTCGCTTCTGATCAGCAGACACAGCGGGGAAACTGACCTTGAAATTACATTACATTCGAAGGGTGCTCCAGCCAGGTCCAGATCATGTTGAAATCCCCATTGATAGCATCCTACCGTACGAGAAGTACTAGTCTTACCCGCATTTAAACACAGGAATCTTTCAAAGTACTCCGTGCTGCCGTTTGAGCGCTCACTAGGCAAGCGAACTAACGCGTTATCTCGCTTCCATCTCGCTTTCATCTCGCACTGCATTCGCTTCATAGTCGAGAGTTGCTAACTAAAGGGTGTTGTGGGTGTTATTGCGACCTCTTGAGTTACAGCATTGTTGCTCTTCCAGATATCCAAACGGAAAAAAAATGGCGATACGACGGATTCATCGCCGCGCCAGATATCGGTGACATTCGTGCGAATGGGTTCACATGTAGTGCCAATACCAGCCGCTGCTTGCTTGTATCTATGAGATCTTGGCACGGACGGTTATAGTAAATAGTACAAGACAGAAGAAAATTTGATCACTGAAGACAAGGAGTCATGTCTCTTGGCTTTAACGAAGGATCCCGAAATGGACGACATGTCATGTCTAAGTCATCGTTGTTGTACGCGAGTGCCGGGGTGATATCGATGGCTGAAGCTTGAAGCGCTGATAGGGGTAGTCCAGCGCAGGCTCATGTTTTAGATAATGGTGCCGGCAACATATGAGCAGTACAATTCAGGGAAATATGGGGTTGAGGCCTGATAGTCGATGCGAAATAACTCGGTGACAACGTGTCCGGCATTGTCGGCAGGATGATGTAGAATGAGTTTGGCGGGCCTTGGCGAAAACGTCGATTGTAATAGCCATACGAGAGTGTGGGCGCCAAAATGTTAAAGTGCGCCCTCAATCACCGGAGAGAACGCGCGAAGATGGCGGACGAGTAGAGTTTGGTACGGTGGAGGGTGCACGCTGCTGTATGCACTGACTTGGGAGCTAGATGACACGGTCTGGACAAGCTATAATTGTTGAGTGGCGGGGGGAAGGGGTACTCACGAGGATTTGAAACTCAGCGAGACGCCACAGTGACCCGTAGCGTTCAGTGTGCTCAATTACTCAAGTTTGCTCTAACGGCTAGCCATTAGTTACTAATGTCACTATCCTCGACGTCGACAATCAAGAACCAGCTCAATGCTGCTCTGGGGCAGAAGGCCCCAGCCTACTTTGAAACACTCAGCCAGTTTGTTTCTGGTAAGGTATCCAGGATAGAATTTGATGAATCCGTTCGCCAGGCGCTGGATGCTCCGAATTTAGGTAAGTGCAATTACTCTTGGTGTTTCGCAATGACACTGACATCACTCTAGTCCAGCTGCACAATTCTCTTATCATCTCGTTATTCGACTTTACCGTCCACCGTCGACTACCCACACCCCCTCCTGATGTATCGAAGCCCCCACCACGTAAACGTCGCCGAACGTTGCCTTACCAAGGCCCGGATGACAACGATGATAATTTGCGATCGTCGAGACTTAAGCGATGGACTGTGTCTCTGGGGAAGCGGGAACGCGACCGCATACGAACACTGCAGTCTGTTCCCACCGAACGCCCGAGACCTCGCAAAGAAACTGATGAGATAGCATGTGATAGAGGAGTGTTGTTGTTAGGCGAGCGCGGAGGTGCGCATAATGGTTCATTACATTTCCATGACCACTGAAATTCTAGTCCGTCAAAGATCCGCCTGGCAGTCGCTTGTCATTGAATCTTGCATCGGTCTCAAGAGCTCCGACATTACAACATCTTTCGGATAGAGTCAATCTCATAGCAGCACAACATAACCTTGGCGCACCATCACGAGCCGTAGCGTCGCTATTGATGCTTGCATTTGAGGTCCGTCATCCTTGAAGTATTGGCATGCAATCCTCACATTTTACGCAGGCCAAACTAAAGCAACTCATAACACACGCACTTTCTCTTACTTCGACATCGCATGCAATCGCCTCCATAACTCCATCCACACGTCACTCGCATAGTCGTGTTCTCACTGCATCGTCTTTCGATACCCTATTCACAATTTCGCCTGCTGTGCTGCCGAATAAATCAGCCGCGGCTATGCGCCTAGCTATTGGCGACAACGACATTATGGATGATGAAGATGTCATCCTACTAAAGGATCGGGAGGTCCGAGATCAGCGATGGCAGATACTTGCTCTGCTTGGCGAGCGAAGCACAGTCAATGAAGCTCTTAGGAATCTCAGATGACAACCTCTGTTATTTCAATTGCTACCTGTTACTTACTCACCCAGTCATCTCACTAGCACAGGACGTGCACCAAGGACTCGAAGGCCGAAGTCCTTTACGAATTACGGCAGCACAATTTACCGATTAGTGGTCTTGACCAGGGCATCACGAGTCAGATGTTGGCTGTCGAATACTCAGTCTATGATATGATTGATATCCTAATGATTTACATTTAGCCCATCATCCACAAATATAAGCTTTGTTCCCAGCCCAAGGCCTGAGCGCCACAAAGTTTGGACCATTTCTTTTCAGCATCCACCAACGTCAATTTTTATATCGCTTTAATTATTCCTTCTAGCTCATCTAAAAATGAAATCTTTGGTATATATTGTCTGCGAAACATCCAAGCTCAGGGTTGTTTTCTTGCCATAGGAGTCAGTCACGTTGGAGCTTACCAGGCGAAATCAATTTAGAGGACGACATCAAGTACGTAAAAGTAGAACAAAAAGTATGGCCAACGTGGGGATCGAACCCAAGACCTTCGCGTACCAGGAGATTGGTATTAGCACGACGCTCTAACCAACTGAGCTAGTCGGCCATGTCGAAACGGATTAAATATGTCGTGAAATTGCGCGTGCCTCTTGCCATAGACTTCAAACAGGTTTAGCAGACTTAGAGAAGGCCTCGATGCATACATACATCATTGAAAATCAAGATATGTTATCAATCACTGAAAGCCCGGATGACTTTTTCACAGTGAAAAATCTTGAAAAAATCCTAAAAAAGATTAAAGTGAATTTCATGATTGTGTCACCTAAAATGTTAGACAAAATTTTGGCTTTTTATGATGAAAAATATTGATCTCAGTTAAATATTGCATCAGCCCATACTTAAATAATTCAAACAATCTTTGAACAGTACAAATCCAGATATATTTTTGACTTTGTATACTGATTGTAAACAAAGTTTTATCATGATTTGTTCCAGCACAAAAGTTGGTGTTTTTTTGACCCTTTTCTCAATGTTTTTGTTGACGACATATCTTAATTGAAGTTTGAATTTTGTATTGGACAATATTCAAAATTATAATCAAACTTGGATTATTATTTTAGCCCTCACCAAAGTCTATCTTTGTTCAAGATTTGAATAGACTCTTTATGGTGCTGATATTTTGAATCTTGTAGCCAAAAAATCTATTAACTTTGTAGTGGAGCACATGCTTTAAATTTACCACACATCAAAAGTGTGTTTGTATTTAAAATGCAGTTCATGCAAGAATTTTAATTCAGTGTATCCATTAGAGTATGAGGGGCACCACTGGACAAAATTAAACAAATAATTGCACAGTGAATTTCAAAATTTTTGACTGAAAATCAATCATCAAATTATAAAGGGTAATTTTGTGTGATCATTATCAGCACATCTTTTAATTTCCCTAAGATTGTGTTCTCCTGCTGAAATCTTTGTAACCTGCACTACTTCATCTGGACTCCAGCAAACTGAGTTGACATCTCCACTGGGTTCTTTCCACCTCACTGTCCTATATGCAAGATAGTCGCTGGCAACAGCTCTGCTGTTTGGAGACAATGTGTTAAGACCATGCACAAAGGGTAGGACTGATTCTAAGGGGCTTGGCTTCAGCTTGTGCGCTGCGCCCCTTACCCGAGTATGTGCCCTTAATTTCAGATTGGTGTCCAAAGAAAGTCTGAAGGCGTCCGAAGGCGCGGGAAACTTCGGAAGGACTTTCTGGACGGGTGCAAGTAACTTCCAGATGAGTGCGAGAAAGTTCTGGAAATTACGATGAGGTTTCGTCCTGATACGGATATGTATAATGGCTACTTGGGACTTGTCCTGAGTAGAAGTAAACAGAGGAAAGGCTGCAAGGACAAAGTCCGAAGCAGAATAGGTCCGGAGGACCATGGGAAAGATCCGGATGAACTTCCGGAAACTATGGAGGATTGGATGAGCGGATGAGCAGAGTATTGGATAAGCAGAGCTCCGGCCTAGGGAGAAACTCCCTAGGCCTGAGATGGATAACAACTAAGTTGGAAGACTAGAACTGATATGAGGACTTAGAGTGAGATCTAGTGTGAGGACTAATATGATATTCAGACTGAGGAACTACAGGACATATACAGGAGTTTATATACTAAGTGACTATCGGAAAGATCAATAAGCAAAGGTCCAAGGCTATGTACGAAGCATAAGCAAAGTTGTCAAACGTGAGTCAGAAATGAAGCATAGGTTAATGGATCAGTAAGCATACCGGTAGTAAGTATAACTGAGATACCGGGAACAAGGAAATACTGGATAGGCTGTGTTAACGTTATATGCACAGGAAATGAATTAAGTAGCTTATCATATATCAGATTGGACTGGACTGGATTGGATATGGTCTGGACGAGATGCGTGGATGTGCAGAGGTGCAGGGATCCGGATGGGTAGAGGACTGGAGACATGGATAAGGCGTCCAAAGGTCCGGATGAGGTGTGGGAATATTATCGGACGTAGGTCCGGAATATGGGATATGACACAATGTCTTCGCCTATATATGTATAGCTCTTTATGTCTCATAGTTGAAGTGAGCTGTCCCTTGAACATGTGATAATGCACTGTCCACTGGGTGGGTGCACAACACCTCAGACCAGCTTGGTATGGCCTTGCATCATCTTTTGGGTCTTTATTGCTGATGCCTTTTGATCTTAGCAGTCATGAAAGACATGGTTGGTACAACTTACAACAAGTCCCACCTACCTTCTCTGTTCCTTCATCACCATTTACTGGCATTGACTTGTCTGCCACAGTGAACAACATGCAGGTACACATATAAGCTACAGTACACCATCCTCATGCATAAAAAATGTCTACAAATCTGTAAAGCTGTAGACCAAATAAGATGTCTGGATTCCATGCTGTGAGAGTGGACTAGTATCAAAGCCTCAAGCTGTATTCCAAGAAACTGCACTTGCTTGAGTGAAAGTGGGCTGTCTGCCTCCAAAACCATGGCCTCTGAGAACTGCTGTAGGTGGTGAGTGACAAAAGGATTCTTGCTGAGTTTATCTTCTTCATTGTTTACATGGTAGTGATCAATTATATGATGGTCATCCACGTATTACAGTGACCTATCTTCGTATAATACGAGGGAACGGATGTGCATAATATCCTGTATGATATGGGCCAGTGGACCATGGGCCCAGGATAACAATATCCTCAACTATGACGGATGGGCCGGGAGGCAAATTATTCCTGATGGAGGTGGGTGGGCCCATGCAGGGAATATATAGAGTAGATGAGTGGGCCGATGTACATGAATATTAGGTAGACAGGTGGGCTGAGGTAGTTGGATATTATGCAGATGGGTGTATTAAGGTAGATGTGTATGAGATAGATGGGTAGGTACTTGTTATCACATTCACGGGTGGGCCCAGACATATATTAAATTAGATGGGTGGGCCGATGTAGATGAGGAATCTTGACTAGATGTGAAAACACTTAAAACAAAAGGGTGCTCAACAGCAAGACCGGGATACGAGACAACGACTCGACCCAAGGGACAACCACTGAGAGAAGTTCCTCGAAATAAAGTGGAGGGAAACTCTATGAGCTAGGCGGGCACTAACAGGCGCGAGAAGATAACGCGCATGAGCGGGAGGTTCGAGAATGCGCGCGCGCGAAGCAAAGGCGCGCCTTGAGCGTTAAGGGAAAGGTCCTATTGAGGAGTGAATGCCCAGATGGATGATTGACAGGAGAATAAGATCTTATAACAAGTGAGGAGGTGATCTATACACTTTCCAGTACACAAAGATAAGGGGAAAGTAAGTACCAGAACCAAAGGAAACCCTTCTGTATTTAAGAATGGAGATGGCGCGCTTCCGAGCGCGCTCCTGAACCGAGTAACCATATCAACTCTAATTATAACTAAGTTTAAATAAACTTTCTATAAGTAGCGCGGACGTCGGACCGAAGATTTTATTAGTTCAATGGATAAGATAGAAATAACACACCAGTGAATCAGTAAGGACATGGGACGGATGGACGGACGATAGTGCGAAGACCTATGAGGAGGCGCACAAACGCGCGCGTGCATAGGTAAGGCGCGCCTAAGTGCGCGCGAGTTCGGATAAGGCGCGCGCGAGTGCACGCGAGACTGGTACTTAGGAGTAGAGCTGTAACATATAGGAATGTATGGGTAAAGGCCGTATATTCGGCATTGAGATGCGCGAGTCTCTACACCAAGGGTATTATACAATATTGTATTATACGGGTGGGCCCAGACACATATTAATTAGACCAGTGGGCCGAGGGTGTTGTATGGGATGTTGTATTAGACGGGTGGGCCGAGGGTGGTATAAAATATAGATGAGTGGGCCCATGTGTATCATAATTGTAGACATGATGGAGCTGAGGTAGTTGTACATCAACCAAATCAGAGGAGGTAATAAATCAAAGTTACCAAGTTCCTGGAGCATCAGGTGATCTCCTGACATGGCGGTGCGAAGCTTGTGTTGCCCTACAAGATGCCAAGTTCCGACCACCAGAATTTGAGTCAACTGTACCAAGTTCTGAGTTCTGGGACCTGGAACTCAACACATAATTTAGTTAATACTTTTTGATGGTGCACAGGTTGTCTTGCAGAATGTGGAATCCAGGGTGCGAAGCTTGTGTTGCCCTATGAGAAGCCAAGTTCCGACCACCAGAATTTGAGTCAACTGTACCGAGTTCCGGGACCTGGAACTCAACACATAATTTAGTTAATACTTTCTGTGTTAAATGGCCAACTGAAGTTGAGATGTTTCTGAAGAGAGCAGCAGGTGCTCTTTTGACATGGCCTTTGATGGTGCTTAGGTTGTCTTGCAGAATGTGGAATCCGGGGTGCGAAGCTTGTGTTGCCCTACAAGAAGCCAAGTTCCGACCACCAAAATGTGAGTCAACCATACTCAGAGGAGGTAATAAATCAAAGTTACTGAGTTCCTGGAGCAGCAGGTGATCTCCTGACATGGCTGTGCGAAGCTTGTGTTGCCCTATGAGACGCCAAATTCCGACCACCCAAATATGGGTCAACCATACCGACTTCCGAGTTCCAGGACCCGGGAGTCGACAAATGAATATTTGATTATTCTATTACGTAACGAGGAACGAGCGGAGGAATAGAATGTAGTCTTTGCGCAAGCGACGGATGCAGTACAAACTCTTTCTTTCGTACTGCGACGTCCTCGTGTTTTCAGCCTAGTCGTCCTCAACGACTTCGTATCTCATCCTTTTCTTTTCTTTATCATCAGCTATTGATTTCTACTTTCTCTTAGGTCGCTGTACTTTACAGATAAACTAATCCAAGCAACCTTCCGATTCACACCAATCGCACATGAACCGCATACTGGCTGACCCAGCGCTCGAAGCGCAGCCGAACTTCGAGTTCCCAGCTTACGCGGCTTGGCTCAATGCTATCGTTGCAGGAGGACCTACCAGAGAGGCGGCCCTGGAGCAAATGGCAGAGAGTTGGAGGCTGGAGCGCCAAGAACGCATCGTTCTATGGCAGCAGCAATCTGAAGAAGATCTTCGAGTCCAGCAAGAGCAAGAAGATCAAGAACGCATTGCGAAAGAAGCCGAAGCGGCTGAAGAACAGCGAGAAGCAGAGAAGAAGAAGCCCAAGATCAACAACTTCGATGCCGAAGCCGTCGTGGCAGACGTTCTTATTCCTCGCCCTTCGCAGTATGCACTGCAGAAGATCAAAAGCATGGAATATGTCGAGCTGTGGTACTTCAGTCCAGAAGGGTGCCGGGAAGCTTTAGACAGTTGCAGGTCCACGGCGGAGGACTCCTTTGGCCTGGCAAAGGTTGATGGGTACGTCGCGTTCAAGCCGATGGCATCATTCAAGGCTTCGCAGAAAGCGCTACAAGACCATGACCTATCTTGGCGTCAATTCGACATGGCAAAAACGAGCTTCTTGATCCATATCGACAAATGCGGCTGGCCAGACAAGCACCAGCAAGCCTTAGCGCTCTTCTTCACTCTCATTACCAACCACGAGCACCGAATGCGAACTCGTGGCGAGAAGACTTTACTTCGTTACGCCACATACTACAGTGACATATCTCCGTATAATACGAGGGAACGGACGTGCATAATATCCCGTATGATACGGGCCAGCGGACCATGGGCCCATGATAAAAATATTCTCGACTATGACGGATGGGCCGGGAGGCAAATTATTCCCGATGGAGGCGGGTGGGCCCATGCAGGGAATATATAGAGTAGATGAGTGGGCCGATGTAAATGAATATTAGGTAGACGGGTGGGCCGAGGTAGCTGGATATTATGCAGATGGGTGTATTAAGGTAGATGTGTATGAGATAGATGGGTAGGTACTTGTTATCACATTCACGGGTGGGCCCAGACACATATTAAATTAGACGGGTGGGCCGAGGGTATTATAAAATATTGTATTATACGGGTGGGCCCAGACACATATTAATTAGACCGGTGGGCCGAGGGTGTTGTATGGGATGTTGTATTAGACGGGTGGGCCGAGGGTGGTATAAAATATAGATGGGTGGGCCCATGTGTATCATAATTGTAGACATGATGGAGCTGAGGTAGTTGTACATCAACCAAATCAGAGGAGGTAATAAATCAAAGTTACCAAGTTCCCGGAGCATCAGGTGATCTCCTGACATGGCAGTGCGAAGCTTGTGTTGCCCAACGAGACGCCAAGTTCCGGCCACCAGAATTTGAGTCAACTGTACCGAGTTCCGAGTTCCGGGACCCGGAACTCACCACATAAGTTGGTTAATACTTTTTGATGGTGCACAGGTTGTCTTGCAGAATGTGGAATCCGGGGTGCGAAGCTTGTGTTGCCCTACGAGAAGCCAAGTTCCGACCACCAGAATTGGAGTCAACTGTACCGAGTTCCGAGTTCCGAGTTCCGGGACCCGGAACTCAACACATAATTTAGTTAATACTTTCCATGTTAAATGGCCAACCGAAGTTCAGATGTTTCTGAAGAGAGCAGCAGGTGCTCTCTTGACATGGCCTCTGATGGTGCTTAGGTTGTCTTGCAGAATATGGAATCCGCGGTGCGAAGCTTGTGTTGCCCTACGAGAAGCCAAGTTCCGACCGCCAAAATGTGAGTCAACCGTACTCAGAGGAGGTAATAAATCAAAGTTACCGAGTTCCCGGAGCAGCAGGTGATCTCCTGACATGGCTGTGCGAAGCTTGTGTTGCCCTACGAGACTCCAAATTCCGACCACCCAAATATGGGTCGACCGTACCGACCTCCGAGTTCCGGGACCCGGGAGTCGACAAATGAATATCTGATGACCAGCGAGTCAACCTTACTCAGAGGAGGTAATAAATCACAGTTACCGAGTTCCCGGAGCAGCAGGTGATCTCCTGATATGGCAGTACGAAGCTTGTGTTGCCCTATGAGACGCCAAATTCCGACCACTCAAATATGGGTCAACCGTACCGACTTCCGAGTACCGGGACCCGGGAGTCGACAAATGAATATCTGATGACCAGCACACTTCCAATCAGGTAGTATTTCATTGAGCAATGGATAATAATACATCTTTGACAGCGGCCAAAATTATCCATGGCTCCCTTATCTGATCCTCTCTATCTCCACCCCCTATAACACCAAAGTCCGGACATCCAGCATTCAGCGTCTGATTTCCCAAGATTAACATCCAGCATGAACGGTTCTTCCCCTTCCCCTCCTGATAGCATAAACATCTGGCGCACTTGGGCCCTGACTGTGACTTATGAAGCAGGGGAATATACTGAACAGAAATTCAAGGCAGAGAAGACTGGAGGAGGCCCAGTCATACCTTCCCCCAACCTAGACACTGATCTGGTGATGGCGTGCGATCGCTTGGCTGATGTACTCATAAAGGCATCTAAAAATCCCAGTGGGTCTTCCTGCAGATTCGGAAAATTCTATTTATCATTCAAATTCCTGCATGACAGTTCAGATGCAGATGGATATTGCAAGATATAGCAAATTGATCTCCCCGAAGGACACCGGGCATAATGAACATAAAGAGGCGAGGTTGCTTGAGAGGTGTCCTCCTGGCCATGAAGGCAAAAGGTTGGTCGATGAACCTGCAATAATTCTTGATGCATCCGGTGCCATCATTGCATGGTATCTCCCAGACGCCCTGACAGACACCACCCAGGTGTGTAATATACATTGTTACTCGATGGATATCGAATATTAATGGAACCTACAGAAGGAAATCAGGGAGGCCACCTATTTGCTCTCTCCAAGCCTCGAAAAAAGTGTAAGGGCTGATGGCAATTGGCGAACTAATCAAAGGTTGTTCAACCGGGGCTCGGAAGATGTTGGAGCAACTCCCGGATGCATCAATCTATCTCCGGCATGGTTTCAACAGGGACACGAGGTAGGATCTGATGAGATGGTGATTCCGGCAGTCATACTTACCAATCCCAAAGAATGTGTCCGATCCGGAGGTATCTGCATCATTGAAGGGACCTTCCTGCGAGAATATCCTCAAAGCCATTGCAAGGCCAGCAGCCATCGCGTCCGCGGCACTCAGAGTCATGCATCCTGAGCAGTACTGGGCAGGGTTGAGAACCTTGTCAAACCTTGGAAATATAGCAGTAAGCAAGGATCTGCCACAGATGCCGGAGGCCCTGCAGTACTGGGCATCCGTGTTTAACACCCTCTCCATCATTTCCAATCGGGAAACCCCCCATCATCGAGACCACATGTCCATTGCTGAATGCTTCGACATTCTCACCACCGTGGGGGACTATTCTAATGCTCGGATGACAATGCCAAACCTTCAGCTGGAGTTCAAGTACAATTCCGGCTGTATGATTGCGTTTTCCGGAAAGATTGTGAGACATGGAGTGTATGATGTGGAAGGGGATCGGATTGCTTGGGCATGGTATATGAGGGATGCTGTTCATATTTATGCTGGTGTTCCATCATGTGGATGGGCTAGTGTGGATGGTGCATACAGCGTGTGAAAGATCAAACAAAGAGCAAGCATTGTGACCTATATACATTCCAACAAATGAATACCATGTACCAATTGTGATCCGGACCTCAATACTCAATTTTGAGCATTTCCCAAGTGATATGTGGGACTAAATAATTTGGATGCAAGCCTCGGTATTCGATAATTGGAACTCGGGACTTGACATATGGGAGTCCGGAGTGCCGGGGTACTTAGTCCCGACACCCGGACCTTAGCAAGTGATATTTGAGACTGGGGGAAGATGTATAAATACGCTCGAATTAACATTTGTTATTTCCATACACATTTAACAAAACCCTGAACCCCGACATTGTGGACTCCGGACTCGACACTGTTCTGAATACCGAGTTCCGGACGCCCAGGTCCCGAGTCCCGAATTTCGGAGGTCGGGGCTCGGAGACCCGGAGCTCGGCAACTGTGTTGGGTGTCAGGGTATCCAGACCATTGGAGATAGCATGTGTGAGTATTTTGCGTTTCATGGTTTATGTTGGGTGAATATGGAATTGGGGATCAGGGACTCGGTATTCAGAACAGTGTCAAGTCCCAGGTCACGAGCTCCGAGTCCCGAGTGCCGAACCCCGAGTCCCGAGTCCCGAATGTCGGAAGTCGGGGTTCGGCGACCCGGAGCTCGGCAACTGCTGGGTGTGGGTTTCGGGACTCGGGACTCGGAGCTCATGACCTGGGACTCAACACTGTTCTGAATACCGAGTCCCTGACACCTGATTCCATAATCACGAAACATAAACCATGAAACTTAAAATACTGACAAATGCTATCTCCAATGCTCCGAGTACCCTGACACCCAACACAGTTGCCGAGCTCCGGGTCGCCGAACCCCGACTTCCGAAATTCGGGACTCGGGACTCGGGGTTCGGCACTCGGGACTCGGAGCTCGTGACCTGGGACTTGACACTGTTCTGAATACCGAGTCCCTGATCCCCAATTCCATATTCACCCAACATAAACCATGAAACGCAAAATACTCACACATGCTATCTCCAATGGTCTGGATACCCTGACACCCAACACAGTTGCCGAGCTCCGGGTCTCCGAGCCCCGACCTCCGAAATTCGGGACTCGGGACCTGGGCGTCCGGGACTCGAATGTGAGATTTTTGAATGCATAGAATATGTTACATCTTGTATACAATGAAGACTGAATGGGACTACACTCCTTTGCCTTTCCTCAATTTCTCTAACATGTCAGTGTACATCTTCACCTCTCCCATCTTAGCTTCGATGCCCTGATCTTGCTCCTCCAGCAATGCTTCCATGCGTTCTTTGATGAATCTCAGTCCCATGAGTGGTGGAGTCGAAGTGTTTTTCAACTTCTCTGGAAGTACCAAAGCATCATCCTCAACATTAAGCTGAAACAGATAAGTCATCAATCAAGGTAATTCAGCTGACATCTTACCGCCCAATACTGGTAGTGAGAGACGCAGGAAGCCATTATTTCATCCCACTGCCATGGTTGATCAGGGATTGTGGTGTTTCCCATCCACCATGGACATGTATATGCGAACACAATCCGGGACGGATGTCCTGCAATTGGCTCATCATGAAATGAAAGGAGGTGGAATGAAAAGACGTCGTCCGGAACAGTGTTCCAGGTCAGCATGGGATACAACTTAAGGATATAAGCGACAGGGACCGGAAGAACCGACACGATATTCTGTGAAGCGGAGTACTGCAGGAGTGGTGTGACAAATGTCTGCTCAAATTCTTAGCATTGACCAACAAAGTCATCAGGGCAGTGGTGACATACATTCATCTCCCATTGCAGCCCGGCTTTAAAATACTTGATCCGGTCAGCAGATAGACCATTGTTGGCAGCTTCCGTCCGATATTGAGAGATGATTGCACGGACGCGCGATCCAGCCATTGCCAATGTGCAGGAAATAGTTGCAAGGCTCAGCTTCAGAGGTCGGTAATGGCTTCCGGGATTCAGAGTGCCAGAAGTGGATGCATGAGATGCAGACATGGCTAATACAGGACTATGGCGCTGGCAATACAAGTGAAAGATGGTCAAGATGTGAAGATAAGAATCACTGATGGATGGATACGAAATTCAAACTCCGACATGGGCTGACCCGGACAATTCCCGGGCCTCAATTATGTATGTGGAAAAAGGGACTTCATGAGAAAACAATGTTCATTCATCTCCAGCCTCTATCAACACATTTTGTAGGTCTTGAAAAGCTGCCTGCGCATCCTGTGCCAGCAATGAATACATGTGGGATTGCCTTCCGGCGTAGCATCCGTGACCCGGAAGTCGTTTCTCCAATGATTCCTGCATGTGCTCGCCCCATATGGTTGTTTTCCACAAAAAGAACTTACATGTCCAATCCATCTCGAATGTGACCAATAGCATTTCTTCCCTCCATCGATCCCGTAGTGCCTTTGCCCTCAGCCAATGGACTCGGTAAACTTGGCATGGGTCCAGTCAGGTAATCCGCGGGATATGACATGCAAGCGGGAACTCACATTCTTCATTCCACGATTGATCAGGACCCCCGAGGTCGACTTCAACAGACCAAAACCAAGCCAAAGATTCATTTCGTTGACCTCGGGCATTTGGGTCGCCCACTGCAGTGCTGATTTTGAGTTGCTCGCGAAGCAGGGGTTTGTATTTCTGAAGCTGGTCTTGCCCCGGCTCAAGTTTCATCATTTGCTTCCTTGTCTTTGTATATATGCTGGCATGGAGGGAGACTGCCTGCTGCACCGACGTCACCTGGGACCAAGCTCGAGTTTTCAGGGCCTGGGAATTGGCCTGCCTAACGGTTGTTCGGAACAGGATGGCCTTGTTGCAAAGGTAAATGCGGAGATTGTGAAGGGCATCATTGGCCTGCCCTTCACGAAGCGACATCTCCAGGGGAATCAGATCCTCTGCCATGCATCGTCTGCATCTGTCAACCCCCAGGTTTGATGGCAATGGGATTACAGTTAGCTCGGGAGAGTTTGTCCATGTGTGAGATGTCTCTGTGAAATCCGCCGGGTCATCATCGAGATCATCTAGAATGTCTACGTCCAAGTCTTCAGGTTCATCATCTGCATCAAATCCCTCCCCGAGATGTGTTAGAGCAGACCGAGCAAATCCATCTATCTGGCCTTGGAGCCGATCTCTTTGACGGGCGATGTCTAATCTCTGTGTCTCGGTGGATCTTCTTCCGATCCTTCGGACCTCGATGAGCAATGCAATCTGAGCCTCTTCAATTGCTAACCCTGTTGATATCCATGTCGCCACAGATCTGCGAGAGGGTGCTGCATTGCGGGCGTTACCCTCCTCTAACAATCTAAGCTCGATCTCCTTTTTGCTAGGTGCTGAGTGCAATATTAATTCAGTCCTCGACGGAGACAATGGAACTCAATGTACCCTTTTTGATATTGATCTCATATTCATCCATGGCTGAAGGATCATTCAATCTGCTTGACTGAGCTATCCTCTCCCTGGCTAACCATTCTGTCTTCAAATGTGAGGGTGCTGCTTCATCGAGTCTGTCGAATGCCTTTCCACTTTCTAAGATACCATTCCTAGCCAGTTTGTATTTCCGGCATAGAGTCCTTTTCATGCAAATCATCTTGCAGAAATTGGAGTCATTCATCTGATAATCAAGGCATTCCTTTCGGTGGGGAGATGACATTCCCCGAGCAGCAGGGGAGATCAAATTGAGCCGTGCCCATAGCGTCTCCATGATCTCTCCATCGATCCGACCAATGCCTTCAATAAAGTTAGAAGCATATCGGACATAGCAGCTGTCCTGATGGCCATGAACGTGCCACAACCCAATTCTGGGAATGATGGTTAGTTGTGGTGCCATTTCTAGAAATCGACTTCGATCCACCCGAACCCGAAAGTGTTTGTTGTATTGACAATTAATATCATAGAAGGTGACAGCCCTGGTGATGCCTTCCATGTTGTGCCGGGAAGCCTCGCAAAGGGCGTAGTCCATGTTCATTTGTCTGCAAGTGACCCATGGTTAACTCGTGAATGGGGAATGGTGGATGTGGCTTGCCTTTCGCCTTTCTGAAAATCCACCATGGAGTGAGGGACAAAGCAACCGTGTCTGGCACAGGCAACTCCCCCGATACCGGTGGACTCCAGCTTGTGCCGAGCAGCATTAGCTTGATTTACTGCCCGGTGATTGTTGCAGCTTGATTTTTCCACTGTGTCAGCAGCCTCTGCCAGGTGCATTTTATACCTGTCCTTTCCCACCATGAATCCAAGCCCATCGGACAGCCAAACTTCATCGAATGGCTTAATGGGATGCAGATGTTCGGCTTTGAAATTTCCGTCCATCACAAATGACCGGGTGTATTTCCAGCTTGGATCACTAGTATTATTATGGAGGCCACAGTGGTTGAGAATAGGACTCACTCATCAAGAGATTCATCCTCTGACAACAGCACATTAATCCCAGGCTGAGGACATGCCGGGCAAAATAATGCGAGTTCTCCTGTGCTCAGGTTATCAGAACGATGGCCGAAGCCATGCCATTTCATTGTCTTCAACTGCCTCCACTGTCGAGCGACCCTCATGAGCTCTCTGTATTGGTCCTTGCAATGTGCTTTGTCAATATGATGTCCAGTAGATGAAGAGGATAAGGCATTACCGGAACAAGGTGTGGAAACATGTTCGAGGTCATTCGCTGGAGCTTGCTGTAATAGTTCATCGCCGAGGTGCCGCATTCAAGGCTGTCCAGTAGAAATCATTGAGCACTCTGAAGGTGAACAGTCTTTGGCCTGTTAAAAGATGCAGGGAAAAATCTGTGTCGAAACATTTGAATGTCCAGACTCATGGCATTCAGACATTTACAGCATTGAACCTCCAGGTGATGAACTCCGGACTTGTCAACAATGACCATGGTGTTTTCCTTTGGCTGGAACTCGGGTCCGGACACAAATGGCAGATCTTCAGGCTCGAGCAGGTCTTCGGGTTCATCTTCTTCAAACAGATTCCACCGATCGGTGACCGCCGGACATTGTTTGCCATCATGGCCAAGGTATATAATGAGTCCCACATGAGCTGGACAACTCCGCTCGAAGAATCGCCCATTCCATTGACTGATCCAGTGGAAAGGATTGCTATGATGTTGACTCCTGCAACAGCCCGTGCAATAGAGTGGCTCGCCAAGACAATCTTGACATTTGTACACCCCATCCTGTTGGCAGATGATGCATCTCCTGTCTTCTGGTGGAGCTTCTCGATTGAGGAGGTGATGTAGATATGATTCCTGCCTTGGCAGCCATTGCCTGAGGTAGTCATTTTGACTCTGTATTTTTGAATGCTTAGCCATAGTTTGAATGACACTCCAACATTGTACATGAACTTGCCATGGTTTTTGGGAGTTGCAAAGGCTCAAATGAGCCGTGATCCTGCTCGTAAGTATTGTCAGGAAAGTCTTCCCAAGGAGGTGGTGCCTCAACAGGCTGAATTGTTGGTGATTCTGGGGGAGAGTTAGGCATGGACCTGTAGGCATGTCGCCTCGTGCTTGCAAGTGGGACCTTGACCCAAGTCTTCCTACCTTTGCTGCCCCTTGCTTCCACCCTGTGAGATTTTTGCACTGGGGTGCACTACCTATCTTCATCTTGTTTATTAATGTTGCAAGCAAGGCATCAGCTCAGGTGTAATGAATTGTTATTGCAATATGATGCGGTGCAGTCCTGTTGGCGCATTACAAATTCATTTCCATTAATGGCTTCTCTTCCAATATGGGCCAATTAACCCATCATTAGGCTTTGCTCGAAGTTCAACTTTGCACAATTCATTAATACTTCCATCTTGCAAATCCTTAGCCATTTTGGCATTCTGATTCACTATGGCAAGAACAGGTCATTCCACCAATACGACTTCCGGAAGACACAGGATGCGTCAACCACAGTCTCAGAAGCTCATGGACAAGGAGATTTTGGAGTTGAAGAACTACCTTCCTGAGTGGACTGCTGCCAAAAGGAGTGAGAAGCGAGTGATTTTCACTGCCATAGCAAGGGCGGCCAGGTTGTTTGCTCCTAAATTGGACCAAAAACAATGGAAAAAGAGGAAGCAGGTGAGGCTTCTTTGTTGTGTGGAAAAACTAAATTTTCAACATCACATTCTTTCATCAACTCTTAGGTGTACAAGACTTGGTTGTTCAACAACAAGAAAAAGAAGGAAAGGAAGGACATGATCAAGTATGGGAGGAAATGGACACCCAGGATGGTGGTCTACCAGCAGAAACACGAAGAGGTGCTGAAGAGGATTGAGGACGAGTCCGGGGTAAAGCCAGGAGATCCTGGTATGTTCAAACATTATCAGGCGGCAGTGAAGAGAGCCATGGCTGAATTGGACGACAACGAGTTGGAGAAGGCGAAAGAAACAGCCGAAGAGTGGTCCAACAACTGTCCGCCTCCGGAGATACAAGCACAAGTGGCTCATAAGAAGGGTCCAGCATATATGGAGCACTTTTTGAATGAGATGTGGAGGCAATGTGGGATGAGAGTGTTTGTGATGTCGGCTTGGAAGAATGAAAAGGGCGAGGTGCTGTTCGGGATGTGAGTACATTTATCCATTGACAGAGATCTTTCGTCTCAAAATATTCATGCAGGCATGATGATAATGAGGCCTTAGGAGATGGGGACAGCTTCATGAAGATGAGGGACTGGGAGGACATTGAGCCAGTGTGGCAGGAGTATGCGCAGGAACAGTTCGGTGAGTGTTTGAACCATGTATTCCAGATTGAACATGTTGAGCATCACAATGATAGGCGCTGGGGCATGGGATGGAGGACGTCAGGTCAAGGGAGGCCCAAAACGAATTCGAAAACCAGCCTTCGAACTCGAAATGGATGGGGAGGGTATGCCACTCCTTCCAGACATCACCAACACCAAACTTGAGGAGAAGAAGGCCATAGTGAGGGCCTTTCTTACATTGCACTATCGTGAGTTTGTCGTCGCATCACCTGACAAATTGTTCAATGCATGGACAAAGGGATATGCTCCGGGAAGGACAAGGCGGTTGTGCCATGGAGTGCCATTGTACAAAGTCAGGATGACTTCATGGCCCGGACATATCTTCTGGCGGATGTTAACTTGAAGGAACCTTCGAAGCTGCAAATTTGGGACACCACTACCTTGCTCCATTTCTGGCGCGCTCGGCAGGAAACAGGTGAAGGTCCCACATTTCTGTTCAAAGCATGGAAGAACAAAGATGGGGACATGATACCATCTGTCATATCTGGCAACTCGCCCTCTCCTCAGACTCGTATAGTGAGAAGGCAGCCAAGGGTTACCATCCGAAGGCCTCGGGAGTCATCGACAGAAGCTGAGAGTGATAAGGAGAGTGCTACTCATCATATGGAGCATGATGTGGATGATGACCTGGCTGTTGGGAGACCTCCGCTGAAGAAACACAGGACAGGAGGTCCTACACCCAAAGGGCCAGCAGTCCCACGTGCAATTCCAAAGCCTCGCCTGGCCAAGCCGGCCAAGAAAGGTGCATTACTGACATCACGAATGGGAGACCTCCTTGCTGGGTTAACTGAAGACGCGACAGGTGAGGTTAGAGATGATGTTGAAATGGAAGAGAGTATCACACCGCCAGCACAGAAAAGGAGGCGGGGCACTCGAGTCACTGTTGAACCATCCACGAGGATGACCCAGAGTAAGTTGCAAATGCCAGTAGACAGTACACCTAGAGTAACCAGAGCACGGGGATGCACTTAATGTACATATATGTTCCTGCCCTCATGTGTAATGTCATATGTGCTATTATGTATATGTCAAAGTACTAACGACCTAATTGTAAATCCCAAATCCCAAATCTCGAGTACCAAGGCCCAAGTACAGAACCCCGAATGCCGGGCACCGAGTACCAAGTACCAAGGCCCAAGTACTGAGCACCAAACACCGAGTACTGAGTACCGAGCACCAAGTACTGAGCACCAAAAACTGGGCAGCGAGTACTGGGTAGGTGGAGTATACAAGTACCAAGGACTACCTACTGAGTAGGTACAGTATACAAGTACCAAGTATTAAGTACTTAGCAGGTAAAGTATACTGCAATGTGTCTAATATCAGACATTGATCAATATTTACATGTTACTTGAGTCCTCAAAGGCCTCAATGATGGTATCTAATACCTTCAGCATTTCGGAGGTTGACTCCCTTACCCTTTGCATCCTCCGGAGGTCAACATCTGCTTTCCGCAGCTTGTCGCATGTTTCAGCCCATGCCATCCTGAATGGTCTGTCAGCCTCAAGAATTTGTGCT